CAAAAACCTGGATCGGGACATCTCTACCATAGACCTCCATTATTTGAATGTCAGCAGACAGCAAGAAGCCTCCCAGATCTCCAGATGCATTTGAGATATCAAAAAAGTACTCCAGAGTGTTGTTCAGCATGGAGGTGAGTAGAAAATGAAGGCTAATCATGTTTTGGGTGTACTATTCCTTTAATCAGCCAATGTGGATCCACCAATCAACTGTAAGGAACCAGCCATCACCCTGATGAAGAACAGGAAACAGCTGAACCTGACGGCATCCCAGCTCAAGCACTACAAGCCTTCAGGACCTCACAGAGCTGGATAAATATGACTGAACTCTGAGGAACGTTTGGAGCTCAGGTGATTTCAGCACCACTCTCACCATGACACAGGTTACAGGACCTGTTTCTACGTCACTGATGGACACAACGCCTGCACCTGATAGAGCCGATAACCTGGAAGCCTTCAGCTACACAGATTAGAAAAGTCAGGACATGGAAGACAATGTGGCTCAGATAACAACTTCTTCTATGACGTTGTTGATAATGGCTGCTACTACAACTGATCAGTTCAACAGTTTAAGCAGGTAATAAGTTTCCCATCATAGAGTTAAAAAGCAGAAGCTGATATACAAACTTCCACAACATCAAAGACTGAAGCAGTTTAAAGAGCCAATCAGCATCATAGTGTCTCTGAAACATTGGACCAATCAGGAGAAAGGAGCTGATTCTGAGCTGCAGGGTTATGAGTTCTATTACATCATTAGAGAAGGACAACTAGGGGAGGATTAGCTGTTTATGATGGCAATAACCTAAAAGTATAAAATAGTAGAAAACACGACCGGTCTGACTAAAGATGCATTTGAGTGTTTAACAGTTGAAATATTTATGGAAAAGTCAGAAAATGTGGTTGTTAGTTGTATAAACAGAGCTGTTGGTTCCAATATGGAGATATTTAGAAAAACACAGTTACATCTCAGAAGGTCTCCTTCATCTGTAGAACTTTAATATAGATCTACTTCACTCAGATAACCATAAACCTACTGAAGGGTTCATTAATATCACGTACAGTTTGAGCCTTTTTCCCTAAATCACTGGCCCCGCAGGATCACCTTAACAGAGCCACATTAATAGATAATATTAGAATTATAGTTATCTAAGCTTTAACTAATAATTTTGTAAGTGTGGGATCCAAACTGGCAGGAATAAATCCCAGATCTACAACTGCTGGAGCTCTGAATGAAAGATTAATCATCCTTCTTCAATGTGAGAGAAAGAGAAACTATAGATATTGTCAATAAAAGTAATAAAAAGATCTCAGCTGACTGTGATGGCATTGATATGGCCGTAATTAAGAAGGTAATAGAGGAAATGATTCAGCCTCCGATTTACATTTCAAAATGGTCAATTTCCAGAAAAGATCAAATTACCAAAATGATTCCACTTTATAGTAAATCTGGGGACAGACACCTTTTCACAAATTATAGGCCGTTTTCTCTACTTCCACAGTTTTCAACATTATGGAGAAATTATTTGTGTATAGACCTGATACTTTCATTGTTAGGATAATAATCACTGAAGATCTGTGACTTTATCACACCCTGGCACTGGCTGCCTGGCACTGGCTGCTTGGCACTGGCTGCCTGGCACTGGCTGCCTGGCACTGGCTGCCTGGCATTGGCTGCCTGGCACTGGCTGCCTGGCATTGGCTGCCTGGCACTGGCTGCCTGGCACTGGCTGCCTGGCATTGGCTGCCTGGCACTTGCTGCCTGGCACTGGCTGCCTGGCACTGGCTGCCTGGCATTGGCTGCCTGGCACTGGCTGCCTGGCACTGGCTGCCTGGCATTGGCTGCCTGGCATTGGCTGCCTGGCACTGGCTGCCTGGCACTGGCTGCCTGGCATTGGCTGCCTGGCATTGGCTGCCTGGCACTGGCTGCCTGGCACTGGCTGCCTGGCATTGGCTGCCTGG